TTTATAGCTCTTATCAGTGTTTTTGCTGTCTGGAGGGTTGTCGCTGTAGGTGGTTGTTCTTGTGTTGCTCCTTTCTTTGCCAATCTGTCAGCTCTGTCATTACCTGGTGTGTCGGAGTGACCTGGAATCCACTGCATCACTATTTTGATGTTGTATGAGGTAATAAGCTGATCAGCATCCAGGATTATCTTGGCTATGTCAGTTCTGCAGCGTTCACTGCCCTCCAGAGCTTGAAGGGCAGACATCGAATCTGTGAAGATGACAATATTTTGGACCTTTGAGGGGTAAACATCCATTACAGTCTTTAGGTGGTATACTGCTGTTTCCAGTGCAATTATTTCAGCTTCATAGTTTGAACAGAATTCCCTGCATGCATAAAAAATCTCTTCAACTGATCCATCGGGATAACCTATGTAGATTCCGTAACCTGCTTTAATGGTAGCTTTAAATGCTGATCCATCAGTATAGACATGTATCCATTCTTGGGGGTAAAATAAATAAGTCCTGTTTTAACTGCACCGACAAACACCGATGGAAAACGTAAATGTGCAAATGTAGTATGTTTATGTGGTTTATTAGTTAGCTGTGTGCTATTTTTTTCAGTTAAAATCTTGTTTGATGTAGAGGGTGAGTGATTTGCAAAAATAAATACGCCAGCCAGCTGTGAGGTTCATGCTAATATCCGTTTTTCTGTTAGCAAAAATACAACAGTGCTGCAGAAATTCACAGGCATCTCATTGAAGTTTATGGGCCAGATGTAAACATAAGCAGAAATGCCTGGCTTAAGCTCAACAAATTTTGTAGCACTATCAAAATGAAGGAGATGAATTTTTGGGGCACATTGTTACTGCAGAAAAGACCTGGATTTCCTACACAAACAACAAATCAAAGCAATGGCTGATGCAATGGCCACTCATGGTCTCCGAAAGCAAAAAAACTGAAGCAAGCACCTTCTGTCAAAAAGATCTTGGCCACTGTTTTCTGGGACAAAAAAGGGGTCTTGTTTATTGATTTTCTAGAATGTGGAAAGAGATTTAATGCCACAGCTAATTGTGAGACTGATAAAACTTAGAGATGCCATTAAAAAAAAAAAAAAAAAAAAAAAAAAAGACGTGGGTTGCTGTCCTTAGAATGCTCCTGCTGATAATGCTCGTCCTCAGGTCACAGATGCAACTTCATTTGTTGCAAAATTTCACTGGCAATTTTTTCACCACCAACTCTACAGCCCTGATCTGGCGCCAAGTGATTACCACCTTTTCATGCGCCTAAAGAAGTGACTGGCATTCCAGCAGTTTGAAACTGATGATGAACTGCAAACAAGCGTTAATGAATGGTTCAAGACGCTGGTGGCAGACTTTTTTGACATTGGAATTAAGAACCTGGTGCAGCCTTACCAAAAATGAGTTGAAATCAGTGGTGACTACGTTGAGAAATAATGTAAATGTGTGGTTCACTTTTGGCTGCAATAAGTTATTTTATTATACAGTAGTTTTTTTCTTTTTAAATTGTATACCAGAACTTACTTAAAAAATGCACCTTGTACATCAAACAGAAGTGTATAAATATAAACACTTATTAGTAGTGTATATAATAGAAGTACACATGGGGTTTTAAATGTCAGAAAAAAATTAAAATGTATACAATAGACATACGTACAGTAGAAGTACACATGATATAAGTAGAGAACATCAAAATACATAAAATAGAATTACATACAACAGGAGTGCATACATTAAAGATACCAAAACAAAACCCCTACATAAAACAGAAGTACATAAAATAAAAGTACCTGCATTATAAGTACATCAAATAGAAGTACATAAAGCAACTACACATGTAAACTACTGCATGTACATAAAACTAAATAAACCAGTTAAAGTAAACTAAACACACATTGTGCTGTCTGTCTTGTTTATAATTTACATAGAATTTATATAAGTATGTCAGAATTATGACACTGCATTCATAAACAGCAAGCCACACACAGTTGATGCAAAGTATGGTTCAGGAAAGGAAAATTTAGGAACCGTCAATATTATCACTTACACTCGGCTACATATGATCCTATGAAACCTCTCTTGGAGACAGAAGAATCAGACACAAAGATAAGATACATGGAGTTTCCTGTTGACTTCACTGGTAGTTGCCAGTTGTCACAGATCTGTCGCAGAATGGGAGCCTCTTTGTTGGGACCATCATGGACCTCTAAGTAGTCGTATGGGCAGCCTTCCACATCATAGTCTTGTAGACTGTAACATAATTATTTGTTCCAAGAGTTAGTACAACTGCTAAGGATAAAAGATGATATTTGCAATATGTTTTTGCCAATTTTTTGCGAGAAGGAGAGTTCTGAAGAGCAATATATTGTAAATTCTAATGCAGGGAAATGAGTCATAGACAATCAACAGAGTAGGTGAGTGAATCACAGTCTATTAGTAGATTAGCAAAATGAACCATACACAATCAGTTGATAACTGAAGTAAACCATAGACAATCAGTAGATAACTGAAGTAAACCATAGACAATCAGTAGACTAGGCAACAATCATAGAAAAGCTGCAGAGATGTGGTTTTATAGAGAATGCCATGGACAGATGAAAAGTGCCATGAAGATGCTGTAAAAGAAATGAGCTTACAGAGAGAAATATGTTTCATACAACTACACAAAACAACCCACATTCTTTGGGTACATCATGGGAAGAGGAAGCCAGGAGAATGGGGAAGGAATGAGGCAGAGAGAGGATGCAGGACATTTTAGCATCATTGGAAGAGGGAGTATCTCATGACACTAGGGAATGCAGGGCAGGAATGAGGTAGTTTATAAGCATGAGAACTAATATAGACAGAATAGCACTGGGACATGTATTAGACATGTAAACAAGACAGAGGACTGTGGGCAGGCATCACAACTAAAGCCAAATGTTACAGACTATAAGAAGTTTCCTAAGTAAGTGAAAGGGTCACAGGTTTTAACAGATAATAGAATCTCTACCTAATTTCACTGAATGTCTTGTCTATTAAATGCAATTATATGTGTATAATTAAACAACCATAAGCCTGTCATATTTTTAACTAGTTACAACTTATTACCATTATTATTGATGTTCACAAACATTATGGAAGAGTTGTGTAATAAATCCAGCTTTTATGACCAGACAGCTAATACACAATTATGATATCACGCTGATAAGTCAAGACAAATGACAAGCATGTGTGTTCTGAGTTCAGGATCTAAGGAGCAATGTGAAAAGGCGCTGGTCATCTCACTTCATAAAGTGATGACACTGTTATTGTTGTTCCAGGTTTGACTCCTAATTACAAAGGTTACAACTAGTAATCTTATAGCCATACTACTATCAGACAGAGGGACATTCTAAAATCCACTGTGTGTAACACTGGTCATTAAGCTATGCATGACTGGTGTTTCTTTCAAATCCCCAGTGACAGAGAGAGTCATTTGATTAGAAGTTGACATGCATCATATTGGCAGATGAGGTCACATGAAATGACAATGAATATGTGCATGCGAAGTTCTTAGCATCTCACTATGTAAGTGGCTCCAGCACAGAAATGACCACAAATATGTGCATGTGAGGTTACTAGTATCTTGTATAACATCTTGTAGGGAGTCAGTAGTCTGAAACCCAAGTTCAAGGTGTCTCCTTCGTGCCAAAGAACTGCATGGCTGTTGGGTGAACAGTCGTTAATGAAGGCAGTCAGGTCGTTGTTGGGGCAACACTTGATGGTGGATGTAATGTCCCAAGTCCCTTCCTCAGTTAATAGCGAGGGTACTGCTGGGGTGACCTATATTTGTGATCACATAATGGCACCACCAATATTGAGACAACAGGCATCTACAATTAAAACCACCACGTTTGTCACAGTCCAAATGCAATCTGCAGCTCCCAGTGTCACACCATGCACTCAACTCAGAAGCTGGGCGACTTCCCCAAAAATATACAATGTCGCCACAAATATACAGTGTCACCACAAATATACAATATTACCACAAATATACAGTTTCACCACAAATATACAATGTCGCCACAAGTATACAGTGTCACCACAAGTATACAGTGTCACCACAAATATACAATGTCACCTCAAGTATACAATGTCACCTCAAGTATACAATGTCGCCTCAAGTATACAATGTCACCTCAAGTATACAATGTCACCTCAAGTATACAATGTCACCTCAAGTATACAATGTCACCTCAAATATACAATGTCACCTCAAGTATACAATGTCGCCACAAGTATACAATGTCACCTCAAGTATACAATGTCACCTCAAGTATACAATGTCACCTCAAGTATACAATGTCACCTCAAGTATACAATGTTACCTCAAGTATACTAGTGGATTCCAGGTCACTCTGTCACACCAGGTAATGACAGAGCTGACAGATTGGCAAAGAAAGGAGCAACACAAGAACAACCACCTACAGCGACAACCCTCCAGACAGCAAAAACACTGATAAGAGCTATAAACAAAGAGACTTGGTTGAACAGATGGGCCATGGGAGACACTGGAAGAGAGGTTTATAGACATATGTCTGGCCCTGATCCTAATGACAGCATTAACCATCTAACAAGAAGGGACCAGGCCACCATCTTCAGACTTAGAACGCAACATACTCCACTCAGTGGACACCTAAACAGAATACAGCCACAACACTCCCCAGAGTGCCAGCTATGTAACTACCCCTACGAAACTGTTGAACACCATCTCTTTGAGTGCCCAAAACTCAGTGAGACAAGAAGAACGCTACTCCCTCCGAGACCAGACAAGTGGAACACCTTGTACGGAGGAAAGGAACAGCTTGTGAAAACATGCAAATTCCACTACATGGCATTGGGCCAAAGGGCGAAAGCTCATGCGCCGCTGGATCGATAACAACAACAACAACCTCAAGTATACAATGTCACCTCAAGTATACAATGTCACCTCAAGTATACAATGTCACCTCAAGTATTTAATGTCACCTCAAGTATACAATGTCACCTCAAGTATACAATGTCACCTCAAGTATACAATGTCACCTCAAGTATACAATGTCACCTCAAGTATACAATGTCACCACAAGTATACAAAGTCACCTCAAGTATACAATGTTACCTCAAGTATACAATGTCACCACAAGTTTACAATATCAACACAAATATACAGTGTCACCACAAATATACAATGTCACCTCAAGTATTCAATGTCACCTCAAGTATACAATGTCACCTCAAGTATACAATGTTACCTCAAGTATACAATGTCACCACAAGTATACAATGTCACCTCAAGTATACAATGTCACCTCAAGTATACAATGTCAACACCAGTATACAGTGTCACCACAAATATACAATGTCACCACAAGTATACAATGTCCCCACAAGTATACAATGTCACCTCAAGTATACAATGTCACCTCAAGTATACAATGTCACCTCAAGTATACAATGTCACCTCAAGTATACAATGTCACCTCAAGTATACAATGTCACCTCAAGTATACAATGTCACCTCAAGTATACAATGTCACCTCAAGTATACAATGTCCCCACAAATATACAATATCGCTACAAGTATACAATGTAGCCTCAAGTATACAACGTCACCACAAATATACAATGTCGCCACAAATATACAATCACCACAAATATACATTGTCACCACAAGTATACAATGTCACCACAAATATACAATATCACCATAAATATACAATGTCACCTCAAGTATACAATGTCACCACAAGTATACAATTACCCCACAAGTATACAATGTCACCACAAGTATACAATGTCACCACAAGTATACAATTACCCCACAAGTATACGATTACCACACAAGTATACAATGTCGCCACAAGTATACAATGTCCCCACAAGTATACAATATCACCTCCAGTATACAATGTCACCTCAAGTATACAATGTCACCACAAGTATACAATGTCACCACAAGTATACAATGTCCCCACAAGTATACAATTACCCCACAAGTATACAATGTCACCTCAAGTATACAATGTCACCACAAGTATACAATTACCCCACAAGTATACAATGTCACCACAAGTATACAATGTCACCACAAGTATACAATTACCCCACAAGTATACGATTACCACACAAGTATACAATGTCGCCACAAGTATACAATGTCCCCACAAGTATACAATATCACCTCCAGTATACAATGTCACCTCAAGTATACAATGTCACCACAAGTATACAATGTCACCACAAGTATACAATGTCCCCACAAGTATACAATGTCACCACAAATATACAATTACCCCACAAGTATACAATTACCACACAAGTATACAATTACCACACAAGTATACAATGTCGTCACAAGTATACAATATCCCCACAAGTATACAATATCACCTCCAGTATACAATCTCACCTCCAGTATACAATGTCACCACAAGTATACAATTACCGCACAAGTATACAATTACCACACAAGTATACAATGTCCCCACAAGTATACAATATCACCTCCAGTATACAATGTCACCTCAAGTATACAATATCACAAAAGTATACAATATCACCTCAAGTATACAATGTCACCACAAATATACAATGTCACCTCAAGTATACAATGTCACCACAAGTATACAATTACCCCACAAGTATACAATTACCACACAAGTATACAATGTTGCCACAAGTATACAATGTCCCCTCCAGTATACAATGTCGCCACAAGTATACAATGTCACCTCAAGTATACAATGCCACCACCAGTATACAGTGTCACCCCAAATATACAATGTCACCTCAAGTATACAATGTCACCTCAAATATACAATGTCACCTCAAGTATACAATGTCACCTCAAGTATACAATTACCACACAAGTATACAATGTCACCTCAAGTATACAATGTCGCCATAAGTATACAATTACCACACAAGTATACAATGTCACCTCAAGTATACAATGTCACCTCAAGTATACAATGTCACCTCAAGTATACAATGTCACCTTAAGTATACAATGTCACCTCAAGTATACAATGTCCCCACAAGTATACAATGTCCCCACAAGTATACAATGTCACCTCAAGTATACAATGTCACCACAAGTATACAATGTCACCTCAAGTATACAATGTCACCTCAAGTATACAATATCACCTCAAGTATACAATGTCACCTCAAGTATACAATGTCACCTCAAGTATACAATATCACCTCAAGTATACAATGTCACCTCAAGTATACAATGTCACCTCAAGTATACAATATCACCTCAAGTATACAATGTCACCACAAGTATACAATGTCACCTCAAGTATACAATGTCGCCATAAGTATACAATTACCACACAAGTATACAATGTCACCTCAAGTATACAATGTCACCTCAAGTATACAATGTCACCTCAAGTATACAATGTCACCACAAGTATACAATTACCGCACAAGTATACAATTACCACACAAGTATACAATGTCCCCACAAGTATACAATATCACCTCCAGTATACAATGTCACCTCAAGTATACAATATCACCTCAAGTATACAATATCACCTCAAGTATACAATGTCACCTCAAGTATACAATGTCACCACAAATATACAATGTCACCTCAAGTATACAATGTCACCACAAGTATACAATTACCCCACAATTATACAATTACCACACAAGTATACAATGTCGCCACAAGTATACAATGTCACCTCAAGTATACAATGTCGCCACAAGTATACAATGTCACCTCAAGTATACAATGTCACCACAAGTATACAATGTCACCTCAAGTATACAATGTCACCACAAGTATACAGTGTCACCACAAATATACAATGTCACCTCAAGTATACAATGTCACCTCAAGTATACAATGTCACCTCAAGTATACAATGTCACCTCAAGTATACAATTACCACACAAGTATACAATGTCACCTCAAGTATACAATGTCGCCATAAGTATACAATTACCACACAAGTATACAATGTCACCTCAAGTATACAATGTCACCTCAAGTATACAATATCACCTCAAGTATACAATGTCACCTCAAGTATACAATGTCACCTCAAGTATACAATATCACCTCAAGTATTCAATGTCACCTCAAGTATACAATGTCACCTCAAGTATACAATGTCACCACAAGTATACAATGTCACCTCAAGTATACAATGTCGCCATAAGTATACAATTACCACACAAGTATACAATGTCACCTCAAGTATACAATGTCACCTCAAGTATACAATGTCACCTCAAGTATACAATGTCACCACAAGTATACAATGTCACCTCAAGTATACAATGTCACCTCAAGTATACAATGTCACCTCAAGTATACAATATCACCTCAAGTATACAATGTCACCTCAAGTATACAATGTCACCTCAAGTATACAATATCACCTCAAGTATACAATGTCACCTCAAGTATACAATGTCACCTCAAGTATACAATATCACCTCAAGTATACAATGTCACCTCAAGTATACAATGTCACCTCAAGTATACAATGTCACCTCAAGTATACAACGTCACCTCAAGTATACAATGTCACCACAAGTATACAATGTCACCTCAAGTATACAATGTCCCCACAAGTATACAATGTCACCTCAAGTATACAATGTCACCACAAGTATACAATGTCCCCACAAGTATACAATGTCACATCAAGTATACAATGTCACCTCAAGTATACAATGTCACCTCAAGTATACAATATCACCTCAAGTATACAATGTCGCCATAAGTATACAATTACCACACAAGTATACAATGTCACCTCAAGTATACAATGTCACCACAAGTATACAATGTCACCTCAAGTATAGAGTGTCACCACAAGTATACAATGTCACCTCAAGTATACAGTATCACCACAAGTATACAATGTCACCTCAAGTATACAATGTCACCACAAGTATACAATGTCACCTCAAGTATACAGTGTCACCACAGGTATACAATGTCACCACAAGTATACAATGTCACCTCAAGTATACAATTTCACTACAAGTATACAATGTCGCCTCAAGTATACAATATCACCTCAAGTATACAATGTCGCCATAAGTATACAATTACCACACAAGTATACAATGTCACCTCAAGTATACAATGTCACCTCAAGTATACAGTGTCACCTCAAGTATACAATGTCACCTCAAGTATACAATGTCACCTCAAGTATACAGTGTCACCACAAGTATACAATGTCACCTCAAGTATACAATGTCACCTCAAGTATACAGTGTCACCACAGGTATACAATGTCACCACAAGAATACAATGTCACCTCAAGTATACAATTTCACCACAAGTATACAATGTCGCCTCAAGTATACAATGTCGCCTCAAGTATACAATGTCTCCACAGCCTGTTTTCTAATACTGTGGATGCTAAATGTCATCTACTGAGACCAAGAAATTCAGCAAGTTACCTGAGTGTAATGATTGCATCAGCTTCATCAGCTACTATCGTCCAGGTGCAGTAGGAGTTGCTATCATAGAACTGAGGGTAGTTGGATGTTGACAGGCTTCCTGTCCTCTCTGTCATGGTTCGGTTGCAATCTGATGACAGAAAAACATTCTGTTGAATCAAGGTCTCGGGAATTACGGCATAAGTCAGATAAGATATTAGATCTCTAATTATCACACAAAATATAGCAGTGAAACTAAATCATAATTCAGACATAATACAAGATCTCTGAAAATCATAAATATATCTCAGTGAAACTAAATCATAATTCAAACATAATACTAAATGAAAGACCTATAGTAATAGAAAATATAGGTTTGGAAACAGTAACTGACTTCATCTACCTGGGGATGGAAATTTAGTGGTTGAAATCAAGCAAAGAATTGCAAAAGCAAAAGGGGAAAAAATGGAGATAAAGAAGATGTCTCCAAACACTAAAGACTATCCAGTGTCAGCCACCTGAAGTGACTTTCTAAACACTATCCAGTGTCAGCCACCTGAAGTGACTTTCTAAACACTAAAGACTATCCAGTGTCAGCCACCTGAAGTGACTTTCTAAAGACTATCCAGTGTCAGCCACCTGAAGTGACTTTCTAAACACTAAAGACTATCCAGTGTCAGCCACCTGAAGTGACTTTCTAAACACTAAAGACTATCCAGTGTCAGCCACCTGAAGTGACTTTCTAAACACTAAAGACTATCCAGTGTCAGCCACCTGAAGTGACTTTCTAAAGACTATCCAGTGTCAGCCACCTGAAGTGACTTTCTAAACACTAAAGACTATCCAGTGTCAGCCACCTGAAGTGACTTTCTAAACACTAAAGACTATCCAGTGTCAGCCACCTGAAGTGACTTTCTAAACACTAAAGACTATCCAATGTCAGCCACCTGAAGTGACTTTCTAAACACTAAAGACTATCCAGTGTCAGCCACCTGAAGTGACTTTCTAAACACTAAAGACTATCCAGTGTCAGCCACCTGAAGTGACTTTCTAAACACTAAAGACTATCCAGTGTCAGCCACCTGAAGTGACTTTCTAAAGACTATCCAGTGTCAGCCACCTGAAGTGACTTTCTAAACACTAAAGACTATCCAATCCCTACAACCTAAAGTGACTTTCCAAACACTAAATAGTTTCTGATGTCAGCCACCTTAAGTTACATTCTAAACACTAAAGACTATCCAATCTCTACAACCTAAAGTGACTTTCCAAACACTAAATAGTTTCTGATGTCAGCCACCTTAAGTTACATTCTAAACACTAAAGACTCTCCAATGTCTGCCACCTGAAGTGACATTCACAACAAAAAATACTTAAAAGTTAAGGCAAAAATTAGCACTAGCAAAACAGCACCTGACTCACCTTGACAGGTTCCATTAGAACCAATCTCAAGTCCACTCCAGCAGACACACTCAAAGCTGCCATTCAAGTTCCGGCACTGTCTGTAGTCAGGACAAGGATGCTGTGAGCATTCATCCACATCTACAGAGCAGTCGTCTCCTGTCCAGCCTGGCTTACATGTACAGTTACCTGTAGCTCTATCACACTGAGCCGTGTTGTTCTCCACACACTTGCAGGTAGATGAGCAGCCACTAGTACAAGCTGCAACATGTAGTATCCATTCAAGTGCATATTAGTGGATAGCAAATAATGGCCAATTTTCTTTTTTTCATAACAGGGCAACTTTTCAATTTAGAAATACTGGCCGTGTACAGAGACAGACTCACAAACAGGATTTAACAAATGAAAAAGACACACAGACGGCTGAGCAGTTCCGCTTCCAGTATGGCAGTGCTAGTTAGCATGATTATTTCAAGGGTAGAAAATCCATATTGTATCGGTTATCATCACTGAAAACAAACCATTTACCAGTTCAAATACATGATAGCAATTTGTACCACTGTTGGGTGCCACAGGGAAGTTATGTGTTTGTTAGATACTGTGTAATTATTAATTGTTCAATGTTTCTGCAACATGCATACGCCATTGCTCTTAGTGCCCTTAGTAACATGGAGGAACTATATGCGAATATGGCTGTTCTGCACCAGAATACCTAATAATCCAGGACTGTAAATGTCCAATCTCTCATGCAGTGAAGCACACCAGCTGTTTTTCCTTTACAGCTTGGTCTAACCCTATGAGTAATGTTATCTAAAGGGTGAAAGGGGCATATTTAGGTTGCAAGTCCCTTGATCAAGAAAACACCCTTCTACAGTCAACACCGTTGTGCATGAGTGAAGAGGCAAAAAACACAACGGATCTAGAAGAGACAACCTTGATAAAAATAACCCTAAGCTTCCAGGGGACATTTGTGCCTATGGTCTGAATGACTATGGGATATACAGTTATAAACATGGATCGTCTGGCTAGCAGGTTGGGTTGCACCAGGTGTATGGACTCCCTCTGGACATCCCCTGCCTTTTCCCTAGCAAACAGGCATTACTAA